CAATTTTGGTTAGTTCCTTAAAAAAGTTTAGTCAAGTGAACAATTGACTTAACACAGCTTTGAAAATTTACTATGCAGAGAAAAATGCTGCTTTAATCATCTTAATTTAAATGAAACAAGCACAGAAACAGTTTCCTTACCCGATCAAATCTTTTTTAAACTTTCCCTTTATTTTTTAGTAGTTTACGTTTAACAAAGTACTGTACTGTATTTGTTTTTTTTTTTTTTGTCTGCCTGATTGCGTACTTCCAGTTCCAAATTAGGTGTGTGGTTCACTGATCAGTTCATAACTTTGGTATTCATAACTCTGAGGTTCTACTGGAAGTGATTGTTTTTCTTGTTTTCTAAAAACTGGAATTTTTTGATATGTGGTGATTAACTTTTCATATTGAAAGCCAGACAGGTAAGTAGTCCTATGTATAGAAATCTGAAATTTTCAGATACTTTTATTGCACACCATAAGCTATGTTTTCTTTTTAAAAATGCAAACTTACTATGGACTGGGATCTCATCTAGAATTAGTGCTCAATACATGCCTGAGGAAATGTAATTTAGAAATAAAATTGTCTATTTTGCATACACATACCATTATTTTTGCTATATTTCTTTTTTACAACACACCAACATGCAGCACTCCAGATATAAATATATATTTTTAGACATTCAAATAAACATACTGGGCATAACTTGTGCCCTGTGTGGAAACTGACATTGAGGGAGGAAGCTGGTGGTATTTGCAGTTTTCACTACTACGTCCATAGCTTCAGGCAGAAGAGAGCAGCTTTAAATTGCAGCCAGGCTTCCACAGAGAGCCTTTTCCCAGTGAAGCCTGACCAGGGGATGAGCTGAATCAGCATATTCACTAGCTGCATTGTTCATGTCCCTTCTCTGACTAGTCTGCACTAACCAAGTACAGGTACCTTAACAAAGGGGTATGGTGGATACCTTGCATTTCTGCAACTCCCATGCCCTCTGGGCAGACTTACTGCCTCCAATTGCTCTGCATACAAAATCTGAATCTCGTATTGTTTATTCATTGTGTGATCAACCAAACAAATGCATTTGATTTGAGTTTGTCCTTTAAAAAAATTAATTAAATGCTAAATGCAAATAGCCATGAATTTCCAGACTTGTTTCTACATTTAAATAAGATGTTTTAAACGAATTATAGTGTTTAACAATTTTTAAACTGTCAGCATTTCAATTATATTATTCCATTTTGGCAGGAATTAAGATTCCAATCCTGCAATTTACAACACGTAGGTGGGCTGACTAAGGTTGCTAGGCATCCAGTTTTCGACCGGAATGCCTAGTTGAAAAGGGACCCTAGCGGCTCCTGTCAGCACAGCTGACCAGGCTGCTAAAAGTCCAATTGGCTGCAGGCCAGCAGTGGGGCAGGCAGACACCGTGTCCAGCTCCACACGGCTTCTGGGAAGCAGCTGGCATGTCCCTCCAGCTCCTAGGCAGAGGGGTAGTCAGGGGGCTCTGTGTGCTACCCCCACCCGCAGGCACTGCCCCGAGCACTGGTTCCACAGCTCCCATTGGAGCTGCCGCTTCGTGGGAGCACCTGAGGTCAGCACCACCCGGAGCCTGCACCCTGAACTCCCTCCCACACCCCAATCTCCTGTCCTAGCCCTGAGCCCCCTCCTGCACTCTGAACCCCTCAGCCCCAGCCCAGAGCCCCTCCTGCACCCCAAACTTCTCATCCCTGGCCCCACTCCAGAGCTGCACCCCCAGCCGGAGCCCTCACCCCTTCCTGCACCCCAACCTTCTGCCCCAGCCAGGAAACCCCCTCCCACACTCCAAACCCCTCGGCTCCAGCCCCCCCAGCCCCTTATTCCCAGCCCTATTACTAGTTTGGAAGGGATTCCAGGGATGATTTTTTTAACGTATTAATCTCTTTTAAATGTATATAAAGAACTGAACGCAGCTAAAGCACGCTTTACAAAAAGACACTGGGGTCATGCTCTCTTCATAAAATACATATGTGACCATCCATGTTCATGCATTAGATTGTCTCATGAATTTGGGCAGCTGCAAGATTCAGATACAAAAAGAGAGTTAAGATACCATGATTTGGTATTTCCATACTGTCTAAAGTATAGGGCTGGGGTTTTTTTTAAATGTTTACCACAACTTCACATTTCCTATCTTTTCAATAAGGAATCTGCTCTTTATAGTGCCAGATAGTTAACTTTGTTCCTTGTTTCTTTAGATTTGCTGGTCATGAGTTTCCACCTTTTCGTTGTGTTTAAGATTTTTCACCATACTGGAGGCCGAGGCAGCAAGTACATAAGTGGAAAAAGAACAATAAGTCCAGCAAGTGAGGTGACTTACTGAATGTTTGTGCGATCATTTTCTCTTCACTTCAGCTGTATCTTGGCTCTGAATTTTATTTTGTAAAATCCTATAACATCTTTATCCTCAGTCACACATATTTCCAATTCTAACAAGCAACCGCTTCATTCATTAAACAACATTACTTTTGTTAGCAAAGAAACAATGATTCTTTCAGCATAGTACATAAAAACTCTTTGTATATCTATGCTCATATTCTCTATTTGGATTAATTTATTTCTAGGAAATTTAGTCACTAGAGGCACTGTTGTGTATAGCTGTCTTTTACAATTCTTTTGTCATTCAGTTCTGCCTTTATTTAAATAGACATTAAAACTATATTTTTAGGCCCCTGAAATTAGTTACATCAAAAGATTTGTTTTTATAAATTTGCTGAACAGGATTCCATTAACCTTGTTCTTTTGACAGGTTACACTGGTCTACAATTTTTGAGAAGTCGTCTGCTTCAGAGATAAAATGTGCTATTTATTATGTATTTTGATGTGCTGAATTCAAATATGACCATTAAAACAACTGATTGGCTACTGTTTCTAAGATATTTAAGTTTTTAAATTTTATGTCTAT